TGCTATAGGACTAAATAAAGACATAATTAGAATTTTTGTAAAAGATGATATTTTTTTTAAAACTTGTGTTTAATGAACATGCCGAAAATTATTACTTTCAGTTTGATAAATGAAAATTATTTCCCAAAACTTTCAATATTAATTTTTCAACTCATAAATTTAGACCATAAGGACTTTAATTATCTAACACTTAAATCCATCGAAGTATGTCAACGACAAACAAACAAACAAACTTATTTTTACATACAGAATTGAGCTTTATATATTAGATTCTAATTTAACCTATAACTAACCAGTAACAGCAAGTTTACATCAAACACTAATCGTTCACTTTTAAAACTAGATCAGTCTCGTTGAATAAAAGGCAAAATAACGATTACAAGTATTATGTGTTGTTGAGATGACCATAAAACATTGTTTATAAAACAAATATTAAAAACCTAAATAGCAACAAGCTTTTAAATGCATTGAAAATAAGAAAATAAACTAATTTACTTTCTTTCATAAAAGCCTTTGTCAGTACAATATGTAAAAGATCTCATGATCGACCAAAGATTTTATGAAAAAAAAACAACCATCTAATTAAATTAAAAATATTGTATTGTCATTAATGTGGTACGTAAATGGAAAGTTTGAACGAAATCGCTGCATTAGAAGTGGGTAAAAAGTGAGTTACAAAATTTGCCACAAACAGAAGTTGCGAACTAAAAAAAAAGCTTGTAAAATTGGAACCCTGTTGTCGTCGTTGTCTTCGGCCATCATGACTATGATGACGGCAAAATAAAAAGGTCAATCGACGGCCTACTTACATCATCACTGTATGATTGGACTGAGAGGCGGTCAGTGTTTCTTCCAGACTTTTTTCTCCGGGGGGGCACTTGAAATCTTCGGGGGGGCGGTAGACTTTCTTCGGGGGGGCGGACACTGTTAAAAGTATATATTTTCTATATAAATTATATAAATTTCATTTCGTTCGGGGGGGCGGTAAAAATTTTTCGGGGGGGCTTCGCCCCCCCGAAGAGATGCCTGGAAGAAACTCTGGAGGCGGTATTGCCTTTTGCCTTGAAAATAATTCGTAACTTTCTTGGTGTAGGATGTAAATGTATGATTATATATATATATATATAGGCCTATATATATATATATAGGCCTATATATATATATATATATATATATATATATATATATATATATATATATATATATATATATATATATATATATAGTAGAATTTCTGCCGATATCTGCCTGCTTTTCTTTTTGGATTTGCTTACATAGTATCTTTGTCCAACCAAGAACAAACTACAAGGCAGCAGTTGTTTGATTTGGGAGTTGTCTCTCCTAGAAGAGTAGCTTTCCACAGCTAACTAGTCTCATCCGCCCGGGTTCGAACTCGAGACTTTTCGGTTTAGCAACCATGAGCTATTACAGATTCGTCCACGCCGACCCCTGGCCTATAGTTGAAATATTTAAGTATTTAGGCGATAGTAAATTTTAAAAAAAGACATCTTTCAACAGTACTGTTCGCTGGCCTGTATCTAAATATATAAAAGCAAAGTGGGGGTTGTTTCTTTGTTACACCTATTAGATCTAGATCGGGTACATGCATGTAAGTTCCAGGGAAAATGTTTTTGATTAAGTGTACGGTTCACTCTCATTCTAATGGGGAAATAAAAGCTATCCCAAATGATCGCATTTAAAGTGACCGAAAACTGATCTGGACTGACCGCGGAATAATATAAACTATACATTTTAAATTAGATAGACCACTTGTAGATGCGATATAAATTTTATATTGGGTACAGAAATCTTGCTAGTGCCGCGTGCACATGAAAAAACACCAGATTATCTAACATTTAATGGGTTCTGGTGGCTTTTATTTGTATAATAAATGTAATGCAGGTTGTTGTGTAATTTTTTTTGTTACACTTTCTGATATTTTTTGCATTTTTTAATTTATATATATATATATATATATATATATATATATATATATATATATATATATATATATATATATATATATATATATATATATAACGGCGAGCCATTTTATAATTACCAGATCTTCAATTACATATTTCTTCTTTTGTCTTTTTGACGCCCGTTGGAACGCCGAAATAAAGCATCAACACGCGCGCTTTTTAAAAATTAAATTTTTGTCCTAATTTGATATCATGCCAGTCTCAGCTGTATCGAATAACAAATATATGGGCTAATATATTGGTTGTCATGATCTGATATATCAGGTAAAAGCAACTAGCATTTTACTGATTCTCCCTTTAGTATCAGCGCCTTCCTTGCTATGTCGACCAATGATAGCAATAGCAGAAAGTAAGACTCGACTTCAAATAATGGTCACTGGTTCAGTACTGAAGATCTAGTGTTTTTGTAATTTATAAAAGCCCACGTGCACACTTCTCTGGGCTTGTCACACAATGAGTTCAAATTCTTCAGCATTACGTGTAGACCTTAGATAATACTTTTATTGAGCAAATTATGTAGGTTATACTCAATGTATAAGCCTTTATTTAACACAATAAATTAAACAAAAGACATTCGAATGTAGAAGTAATCCTAATCTTTCAACGTTACACGAAATAGTAGTCTTCAAAAAGAACACGGCGTCCAATCAGAGATGAGTTCTAGCTTTGTCGATTACAAGGTTTACTGGCTTATCATCATCTTTTCCCTTTTGTGCCCAAGACAGATTGGTCACCTTCAAAAGTTCTTTCCAGTTTTGTCAATCTCCGGGAATTTTCCTGGCAGCTCCCGTAACAGTCCAGTCACTGCCAGATGCTTCCCCGTCTCCCCTGGCTATCAACCGCCATCTTCGTTTCTTTAATAAGCTTTTATTTAATTCGCAACGTCTGTTTGTTTGCTGGTTTGTGGCAAATATTGTAACATAATTTTGACCCACTTCTAATGCAGCGATTCCGTTCAAACTTTCCAGATAAGTTCCAATTTGATGACAATACAAGTCTATCTATTTTAAAATTTTAATTAGATGCCTATTTAGTCATTAAAATACAGTAAAACGGGTTCAAAAATTAAGGGGAGATAACAAAATTAAATAACTCGATAAATTGCTATATTCCATAACAGAAGGGGAGATAACTAACTAGACGCAATCATCCTAACATTCTGGTTTACAATCGTAGAGCCCAGTGGCGTAGCGAGGTCGGGTGTCACCCGGTGCGGCACTTAATGGTGTCACCCCCAGAGGCGTAGCGACCTCCCCGGGGACAAACTTTCAATTTTTTGAGTTGCACCCACCCCACCCTCAAACTTTCGATTTGCACCCCCCCATTAAACTTTCGAGTTGCTACCCCCCCCCCCTCAAACTTTCGATTTGCATACCCCCCCCCCCCTCAAACTTTCGATTTGCACCTCTTAAAAGACTATTTAACACTCGAATTAATCACTTAATTAAGTGGAATTATCATTTTTACTTTCTCGTATATACGAAGTATAGAGAAAGTCTTGTAATCGTGCAAAAAAAAAATCTCGACGTTTTACACCTCACTGATACGGAAAAACATAATTTTGAAATCTTGTCCGTATGTCTGTGTGTCTGTCTGTGTGTCTGTGTGTCTGTGTGTGTGTAAACACGATAACTTGAGTACCGTAACAGCAAGGTTGATGAAATTTCATATATAAGTAATTTATCAAAATTGTAGATCCTGATCAACTTTTGAGCGATTTCCGATAACCGGAAGTGGTACTTTTTCTACTTTGAATTTTTCAAAAGCCTATAACTTGAGTACTATTTCAGATAGATAAATGAAATTTCACATGTAAGTAAAAGATCTAATTCTCTACCTTCTGTCAAATTTTGAGTAATTTCCGTTGACCGGAAGTACTAATTTACGCTATTTCCAATTTCTCAAAAAAACGCATGTAAATTTATAAAGTACTTTTAAAATTTCGCACTATTATGCACATTTGTTTTGGTGTTCGATTGGTGTGCAATTCTTTTTCTATGAGATTCTATTCTATTTTTAAAAATATAAGTAATTAAAAATCATGTCTATATTCCAAGTTATATAAGAACCGTTTCGATCTAGACAGACAGACAGACAGACAGACAGACAGACAGACACACAGACAGACAGACACACTGACTGACGACATACAGAGACAGTGAGTTAAATAAAAGCTTGTAAAAAGATTAGTTTTTGTTTTCTTATTTTCAGTGCATTTAAAAGCTTGTTACTGTAATGGTTTTTTACTTGTTGTTATCTCAGAAATTGTTTCTATTTCCATCTCTTCTATTAGTCTATTACTGATTTATTATTCATTATTATGTTTTGACTATAGCGTTAGTGATACATGTAATTTTTATTTCTACCAATTTCCAACCATACAATAAAAATTCAATTTTGAAAGATCTTCCAATTCAAGAATAAAACGAATTTCCGGCACAAGGCGGGGGGGGGGGGGGGGGGGGGTGTTGGTAGGCGGGGGGCACTTGATATTTTCGGGGGTGGGGGGAGGAGGGCGGAGCACACCCGAAGAGATGCCTAAAAGGAACTCTGCCGCCCTCCGAAGTTATTATTTTTTCTTTCGCAGAAACCTAAGCAGGAGTATTCTCATCAACGAAGAAAAGTTTGATGGTGATCGGATAAAAGGTGTAGTAATGCATCAAGAAAAACAAATCATAAACAGAAAAAACACTTTCATTGTATAGATAGATTGCGTAAGATACCGGTTAACTGAGTTTGGTTCGGCACTGGAAGGTAGTTATTCTTATACTATAAGAAAATACACACACTTGAATGTATAGCTAATTAGATGATGAGCTTGAAACAACCGAAAACATAGGGTCTTGTCCCTCATCTGGGTTTAAATAACTTTTTGTTTAACCTCGCGCCTCGTTGGGGACAGGAATTCTTTAGCCATTATATGAGATTAATTGCACTAACAAATCCAGTGCTGTTTCATAGTTTTAATATTTTTATTGGCGATTACAGTCAAAACATAAAAAGTTAACAAATATGATCTTGGGCTTTATTAGTAATTTTTTAATAAAATGCCAATGGTATTACATGTAGTTATGTGTTGTTTTTTTTGCCACTTGATAGTTTTATCACTGCCTCTAAGTGATGCGTCTTCCAGGAAGCAAAGTAATATTTGTCACAGTTTAGGATTTTTTTTAAAAAATTACCAGATTGACCAGATCAAGAATGTTTTGCTATTGTATCATGTAGTCAAGTAGGATAACGAATATTTCTAAAACAGAATAGGATGGTTTTTTTTTTTTCATTTTCCAAATTTTCCTATTAACCTGCTTTAGTGTTGTACTTTAGTACTATTAACTTTGTCTAGTGTTGTACTCTAAATACTACTATTAACCTTCTCTAGTGCTATACTTAGATACTACTATTAACTTTCTTCAGTGTTGTAGGCCTACTCTAGATACTACTATTAACTTTCTTTAGTGTTGTAGGCCTACTCTAGATACTTCTATTAACTTTCTCTAGTGCTGTACTTTAGATATCACTTAAACATCTCTAAATGCTCCCACGGCTCCAAGAGTCAATGTCCTCTGGAAGTCTCTTTCTGTATTCTCCCTCAAACATGTAATTCATATGTTCCAGATCCAAGGAGCAGACAGAGTGGGTGGTACACTCTTCTGTCTGTTCAATATTCTCTGATTTGATCTTCTTCGATTTCAACACCAAGAATATGACAAGAAAAATAAAGAATGCGACAATGGCTAGACATAAAGGCAAAAGTATAGCCAGATAGGTTTGAACTGAGACTATCTCTGGGACTGGAGTTCGCGGCACAGACGTATCGTAAGCTGGGGATAGCGAGATAATATTAGAAGAGCCGCCCTCATTGCCACTGCTGTCTACAGCGTAGATGCTGAGGAACAGGGTCACATTGTTGCCTAGCCCTGTCGTGTTTAGAGAAAGATGCAGCTTTTCACTTGATCCTGACGATCTAGGCTGACTTAAATTTCCGTAAAGGATGTGTGCGTCTTTAAGCAATTCTGTGGACTTACGATTTAGAAGTAGTTCTTCAAAATCCTTAGAATAATGGATGAAGTATTTAGATGCTGAAAAGATTTGAAGAAAAAATGGACTGTAGTTTTCATGTATTAATGTTTTTCTAAAGTAAATTTTTACTATAATAATTGATCTTCAATGTGTATTTACTTTTTAGTTCAATTTTTATTTCCTTGTCGTAGCTGATAAATCTTTTTAAAAATAGAACGAACCTGTGCCTCTCTCCATGTCTGAACCTACAGCTGTCCACTGTACCACCGCTGTCATATTGGTGTAGTCAAATGAGACGACGCTAAAGTCCGTTATTCTAGAAGGTGGGATCTCATCTGTTAATTGCTCTTGTGTTAAAATAGAGCCAGGAAACCCACGCAATCGAAATTCGCCAGCAGTTGTCACCCTTTGGAAATTCTCTAGTGGTATTGTTTCAGTCTGTGTCTGTTGACCTTAAAACAAACAGTCTTGATGTATTTTTTAGATTCACCATTAAGTAGATATGTTTATATGGCTACATGACATTACCCCCCCCCCCGTAAATTACCCCCCCCCCCGGACATCCCCCGTATTTCCCCCCCCCCACCCCTCAATTTAGAATCTTAATTCTAACTAAAATTCTATACTTATATATTACCTTAATCCTAACCTTAAGAAAAGCTGCAAATCCTAAATTCACTCTGCCTAAAACTTAACCCAAAACCAAAACCAAATCCTAACCCTAGCCCTAACACTAACACTAAACCTAACCCTTACCCTAGCCAAAGCAATAGCAATAGCAATAGCCATAACCCTAACCCTGACCATAACAATAACGCTAATCCTAACCCTAAACCTAGCCCTAACCCTAACCATACACAAAGCCCTAACCCTAACTGTAACCCTAACCCAAGCCATAGCCATAGACCTTACCCTAACCCTAACCCCAGTTTACCCCAGCCCTAGCGCTAGCGCTAGCCCTATGGATATGGAAATGGAAATGGATTTGGATGTGGATGTGGATGTGGCTGTAGACGTAGACGTAGACGTAGACGTAGACGTAGATACAGATATAGATATAGATATAGATATAGATATAGATATAGATATAGACATAGACATAGACATAGACATAGACATAGACATAGACATAGACATAGACATAGACATAGACATAGACATAGACATAGACATAGACATAGACATAGACATAGACATAGACATAGACATAGACATAGACATAGATATAGATATAGATATAGATATAGATAGATAATGGATAAAACGGGCAAGATTAATTTTAATATATATAAGTGACCAGAAACTGCGTATCACTCGTTAAACTTAATTAGCACTTTTTTAACAAAAAATACCACATTAAAAACATCAGCATTGCTTCAACAATCTTAGATCAATATTATTTTATATTTTGAACCTTGATCCTAGAATAACGGCAGAATATGTGTACGTACCGGATGTTGTAGCCTCTAAAGCCCGGCTACCTTTACCGGATGCAGTTACAACAACGGTTTCTTCCTTCCGGCCGATTACCTTGACCTTTATATTATAACGGCCATCGCCCATCAAATCACGTGGCATGATGCTAGCAGCATACACGCCATCACCTTTAATGATGTCGGCACCTACAAGATTAAGAGATTAGAGACGTAAAACACGTCATAGCCTTGGGTTTAAACTAAAACTTGAAATAAAATTTGTTGAAATTTCGCTCGCAAGTTTTGGCCTATAAGCAAGATCGATAGATAGAGGAATGAAGTTGAAAAGCTTGTAGAAAGCAATTGTTATCATAAATATAATTTGATGTGACCCCCTACACCATTCTGCTTCCCCTAAATATGAAAGCTGTGAATAGAGTTTAAGATATGGCTTGACTAGAACAATCGTAGACTGCCGTTAACTTACCAACACCATTATCATATTAGAACAATCGTAGACTGCCGTTAACTTACCAACACCATTATCATATTAGAACAATCGTAGACTGCAGTTATCTTACCAACACCATTATCATATTAGAACAATCGCAGTCTGCCGTTAACTTACCAACACCATTATCATATTAGAACAATCGTAGACTGCAGTTATCTTACCAACACCATTATCATATTAGAACAATCGCAGTCTGCCGTTAACTTACCAACACCATTATCATATTAGAACAATCGTAGACTGCAGTTAACTTACCAACACCATTATCATATTAGAACAATCGCAGACTGCAGTTAACTTACCAACACCATTATCATATTAGAACAATCGTAGACAGCCGTTAACTTACCAACACCATTATCCAGCAGGAGGATATCGGTCGGTGATGACTGGGGACGCTCTATTGAGGCAATGACCTGGGCATTTAGTACTGGAGCCTTGCCTCGAGTCACTTCAGCATAGATTCCAAATTTCTGACTGGGATCAAATACCACCTCACCTTGTTGTGGTATCCAGGAGTTGATCTATAAAAATATCAAGTATTTTATTTTTCCTGTAATAAACTGAATTGACATACAGTCTCGGTCGATTTATTGTGATCACTATGCGCAGGGGCGTAGCGAGGGGGGGGGGGGGCGGGGGGTGCGGACCGCACCGGGTGACACCATTTAGGGGGGTGACACCAAGGCAAAATATAGCAAAATATATAGAGAAAAACTCGAGGGGGGGTGCAAATCGAAAACTTGAGGGAGGGGGGGGGGGTGCAAATCGAAATCTTGAGGGGGGGGGGGTGGTGCAAATCGAAAACTTGAGGGGGGGTGCAAATCGAAAATTTGAAAGTTTGTCCCTGGGAAGGGTCTCTATGCCTCTGGGGGGGGGGGGTGACACCATTAAGTGCCGCACCGGGTGACACCCGACCTCGCTACGCCACTGACTATGCGTTTATTACAACTAAAATACTTCCATTAAATAAAAAGATAATACATACTAAATCAATTTTTTAATATAAAATATTTCACGAAACAGCCCCCTCTTACTTATTAGACCTATTTTCTTTTAACATAAAATTAAATCGTCGTCTTAGTTTACCGATCCCATATACAACTTTTTTCCAAAAACATAGCTTCGCCTACTCTGGTTCTAATTTGTGGAACAATCTTCCTAATAAAAAAAATCTGAAAATATATTCAAAACTAAACTAAAACAACAGTTATTTAATGACTCATTGAAACATTTCTCAATCATCTATTATATTCTTTTTTAAATCTCATTTTGTATTATAACTATGTAATATTATTTCTTTATTCCACATTTTTAGTGCTATGTTACTGTTATGTAGTTACTATGCAATTGCTTTTTTTCCCACGTTTTCTTTAACTTGCTTTCTCTGTCTTTCCTATCAAATCTTGCGATCGAAATTTCTGGCACTTCCCAGTTAGCTAGCGCGCTGAAATTTTCAGGGAAGCTTTCTTTTGGATGACCATAGAATATGCAATTGTTATTATTACTAAATTGATCAATGGAAACATTTTATTGAGCATTTTAGACCGCTATATAATCTATATATAGAATTCTCCTCTGCGAGCCATTAGAAAAAAAACGAGCGACGCGTAGCTCGCCTCTCTCTTGCCGCGCGCAGTGAAGCGAACGATCCCACGTCGCCACAGGCTTAGGGGCAGATAATTTAGTTTGAACCGACTTTAAACTTACAGGAGGTAACTATTACCACTGGTGGCCAGTTTGGGGGAGACGATATGGTCGAGTGGTTGGGCACACGATTGCTATCCCACTCGACACGGATTCAAATCTATGTGTTCTAGTCAGTAACGTATTCACACAACGTGTTTTTTACGAGTTGTCTTTTTTTACGAGTTGTCTTTTTACGAGTTGTCTTCGTTTACCCAAAAAAAAAGTGAAAAGATAAAATCGATAGCAAGATTTCAATGCAAACAGACAAAGACTAAAAAGTAGAAAATAATAATCATTAAAAAAGTATTAAAAAACCCACGTTTTCTGATTGAACTAAAAAGTAGAAAATAAATACTATACATCACAATAATGCAAGCGATCACTCTACTATAAGCGATGAAAAACGTGGGGCGCCGTGATTTTCTTACAGTTTCTAATACTGTTGACTCTCTACAAGCTCCCTAATAAAAGTCAATAGTATTATCTAATCAATAGTAATATAACTTTTACTTCGGCGCCCCACGTTTTTCATCGCTTATAGTAGAGTGATCGCTTGCATTATTGTGATGTATAGTATTTATTTTCTACTTTTTAGTTCAATCAGAAAACGTGGGTTTTTTTAAACTTTTTTAATGATTATTATTAAAAGCTGTTATTAAATTGTTGTTTTATTTGTTTATTTTTAAACGGCCAATGTGAAAAAAGGCCTTAGTGCCTACTATTGTTACCGTAATAGAATAAATAAATAAATAAATAACTACAAGCTTATACGTTGAACAATACCACATAGTGATTAAAGCCTAATGTTATTAGCGGCGTAGATCTTCATCTCTGTATATACAAACATACATACATGCACACACACACATACACACACACACATACACATACATGCACACACACATACACACACATACACACACACAAACATACACACACATACATACATACATACATATATACACACACACTCGCACGCACGCACGCACAAACACACACAAACACACAAACACACACGCACGCACGCACGCTCACACACACACAGGCAGACAGACAGACAGACAGACAGACAGACAGACAGACAGGCAGACAGACAGACAGACAGACAGACAGACAGACAGACAGACAGACAGACAGACAGACAGACAGACAGACAGACATATAGGCCTCTCTCTCTATCTCTCTCCCTCTCTCTCCTTCTCTCTCTCTCTCTCTCTCTCTCTCTCTCTCTCTCTCTCTCTCTCTCTCTCTCTCTCTCTCTCTCTCTCTCTCTCTCTCTCTCTCTCTCTCTCTATATATATATATATATATATATATATATATATATATATATATATATGCTGCTTAAATATTTTCTGTGAAGCTTCGTTACTGACATATCAATATTTGAAGGGTTACAGCTAGCATTGATACTGAATATTCATAGAATATTTTTTGCGATACTGCTATCGATGCTGCTCTAACATGATTCCGACGGATAGCATCAGGGTTTCTTTCAGACATTTTTTCCGGGAGCACTGCCCTGTAAAATGTCAGTGTTATCTGTAAAAAGTCAGTTTTACCTGTAAAATTTCCTGTTTTACACCTCGAGGCTTAGACTGTATGTGTACCGTCACATGAGACACCGTAGCATTTGTGGTCACGTGGTAGACCCACAAACCAGTCTATGTGGTAAAAAAAAGTTAATATATGACGTGAAAATGCTTTACACATTTTCTGATGTCAATCGTCTGTATGTCGGTGACATTTGTTTGGTAGTTTGGAATACTTTGTCTCTTGTGACTAAAGGTCCCAATATTTTGATTGTACGAGAGAAAGAATTCTCTTGTAAAGCCATTGTACATTTTAGTCTATTTAAAAGTTTGACAAAAAGCTTCTTTTTAAACGTATATACTAGGTCACTCACATGCGATATGCCTGGTATCATGACTCGTAACACTTTAGATGATAAATCGTATTTAAAGCTGTCTTTATAATTTTCTTCGGTGTAGTTCTCATTTGGGCCTTCAATCCTTACTACAATATAGTGAGAATAGCTGAAAGTCAGCGATGTTTCAGTGCCAATGGTTGAGTCAATATAAAAACTTCCGGAAAGCGTTTCTCCTTTCCTTGTAGAAACCGCATCCGAAAGAATCTGCAAATCAGACACCTTATAAGGATTTCTTGAATCAGCTATCAAATTTTTATGACATAAAGCAAGAAGCATCAACTTACAGAGTAGGGAATGTTAGCTTTTGGGATGATGTTATTTTCCATAGCAACAGTAGCTGCCAGTCCATCAATCAAGGCTGTTGAGTAGTTCCGGCCGCTGTAGAAAAACGTCTTTCCCCCGGTCTCCTGCGAGAGTTGAGCGATACTTTGTTCGGCCCGTTGTCCATACGCTAGGGCGTGAACTACGATTCCTAGAATAGAACCAGTTCCTGTACATCCAAACAAGCTCATCAAAAATCATAGCAAATTATTAATCTAAATTTAGGCTGACCTTCTTTCATTAATGCAGGTCTAAGATCTCTCAGATACGGCCCTTCATTTTCTTTTCCATCAGTTATTAATATAATGGTACCACCGGGGGCGTCACCATACTTTGTAAGAACCTGGAATTACATATAGATACATGCATACATATATACATACACACATACATACATACACACATACGCAGAGAGAGAGAGAGAGGGAGGTGGTGTACGGTGTCTTAAGTGACATGTTCAAGTGTCCTTGTATTAAATAACTTTCACAAATTTAAAACTATGCCGAAGAGAATTTCCTAACTGTAGAGATGAGATTGAATGTAGAGATGAGATGAGATGTCACTAACCTCTACACCCTTCTTGAGACCGGCACCTATGCTTGTTTTACCTTCCGCTTGCATGGGCAAAGCATCTATTAAAGTAAATCTGTCTTTTTCTGACTTGACCTATTATTTTTAAAGAATTCAAATGACAAATTGTAAGTTCAAATCAAATTATATTTTAATAAGTTTATTAAAATTAATGTTAATCTTTATCAGTTTTATATCTGTGCTTATAATTGATTGATCCATATCATTCCATTCATTATAATTTCTTCAGTTAACTGTTTTAAAAAAAAAAACGTGAATACTAGTTGTATACTAGCATACATGTTTGTTTCTTGTCTTATTTCGACTAGAAAAACTTGCAATGTGTACCTCGACCAGCTGAGACAGCGTAGAAGCGTTGGTGTTGAACTGTACGATCCCAAGTTTACTGCCCGTCTCTATACAGCTGAGGATGTAGTTACTGGCTGCTTGCTTGAGTACACTGAGAGAGGCTCCCTGGTGAGAGGTCAATCATGTTAGTGGTAGTACACACACTTACCTACACGCTAGATGTCACACACTTACCTACACGCTAGATGTCACACACGCTTACCTACACGCTAGATGTCACACACACGCTTACCTACACGCTAGATGTCACACACACTAACCTACACGCTAGATGTCACACACACTTACCTACACGCTAGATGTCACACACACTTACCTACACGCTAGATGTCACACACACTAACCTACACGCTAGATGTCACACACACTTACCTACACGCTAGATGTCACACACGCTTACCTACACGCTAGATGTCACACACACTTACCTACACGCTAGATGTCACACACACGCTTACCTACACGCTAGATGTCACACACACTAACCTACACGCTAGATGTCACACACACTTACCTACACGCTAGATGTCACACAAACTTACCTACACGCTAGATGTCACACACGCTTACCTACACGCTAGATGTCACACAAACTTACCTACACGCTAGATGTCACACACACTTACCTACACGCTAGATGTCACACACACTTACCTACACGCTAGATGTCACACACACTTACCTACACGCTAGATGTCACACACACTAACCTACACGCTAGATGTCACACACACTTACCTACACGCTAGATGTCACACACACTTACCTACACGCTAGATGTCACACACACTTACCTACACGCTAGATGTCACACACACTTACCTACACGCTAGATGTCACACACATTTACCTACACGCTAGATGTCACACACACTTACCTGCACGCTAGATGTCACACACACTTACCTACACGCTAGATGTCACAAACGCTTACCTACACGCTAGATGTCACACACACTTACCTACACGCTAGATGTCACACACACTTACCTACACGCTAGATGTCACACACACTTACCTACACGCTAGATGTCACACACACTTACCTACACGCTAGATGTCACACACACTTACCTACACGCTAGATGTCACACACACTTACCTGCACGCTAGATGTCACACACACTAACCTACACGCTAGATGTCACACACACTTACCTACACGCTAGATGTCACACAAACTTCCCTACACGCTAGATGTCACACACACTTACCTACACGCTAGATGTCACACAAACTTCCCTACACGCTAGATGTCACACACACTTACCTACACGCTAGATGTCACACACACTTACCTACACGCTAGATGTCACACACACTTACCTACACGCTAGATGTCACACACACTTACCTACACGCTAGATGTCACACACGCTTACCTACACGCTAGATGTCACACACACTTACCTACACGCTAGATGTCACACACACGCTTACCTACACGCTAGATGTCACACACACTAACCTACACGCTAGATGTCACACACACTTACCTACACGCTAGATGTCACACAAACTTACCTACACGCTAGATGTCACACACACGCTTACCTACACGCTAGATGTCACACAAACTTACCTACACGCTAGATGTCACACACACTTACCTACACGCTATATGTCACACACACTTACCTACACGCTAGATGTCACACACACTTACCTACACGCTAGATGTCACACACACTAACCTACACGCTAGATGTCACACACACTTACCTACACGCTAGATGTCACACACACTTACCTACACGCTAGATGTCACACACGCTTACCTACACGCTAGATGTCACACACACTAACCTACACGCTAGATGTCACACACACTTACCTACACGCTAGATGTCACACAAACTTCCCTACACGCTAGATGTCACACACACTTACCTACACGCTAGATGTCACACACACTTACCTACACGCTAGATGTCACACACACTTACCTACACGCTAGATGTCACACACACTTACCTACACGCTAGATGTCACACACACTTACCTACACGCTAGATGTCACACACACTTACCTACACGCTAGATGTCACACACGCTTACCTACACGCTAGATGTCACACACACTTACCTACACGCTAGATGTCACACACACTTACCTACACGCTAGATGTCACACACACTTACCTGCACGCTAGATGTCACACACACTTACCTACACGCTAGATGTCACACACACTTACCTACACGCTAGATGTCACACACACTTACCTGCACGCTAGATGTCACACACACTTACCTACACGCTAGATGTCACACACACTTACCTACACGCTAGATGTCACACACACTAACCTACACGCTAGATGTTACACACACTTACCTACACGCTAGATGTCACACACACACTTACCTACACGCTAGATGTCACACACATACCGTCATACTACCTGAGATATCAACCCTAACTTACCGTCAAACTACCTGAGGTATCAACCCTAACTTACCGTCATACTACCTGAGGTATCAACCCTAACTTACCGTCAGACTACCTGAGGTATCAACCCTAACTTACCGTCATACTACCAGATGTATCAACCCTAACTTACCTTTATACTACCAGATGTATCAACCCTAACTTACCGTTATACTACCAGATGTATCAACCCTAACTTACCGTCATACTACCTGAGGTATCAACACTAACTTACCGTCAAACTACCTGAGATATCAACCCTAACTTACCGTCATACTACCTGAAGTATCGAGCACTAGTACACGTTTCCTAGGATGAGCCTGCACGTAACGGAACTTGGGCCTCGTCTTACTAGTAGATGGGAGCGGCTTCTTCGCTATTCCACAAATGACAAAAAATTAACAACAATAAAACTATTGTCCTAATCCGTTTATGGATATTAATCTTTTGTTACAATAAACTAAGAATTGACGCATCTTGTTAGATTTTTATTCCATAGCTAAAACGGAAAACAACTATAAAAATGAAGGAAAATGAAAGTCAAGAAAACGAGCAAATAAAAAATAATTGCAAGGTAGTTTCCAAACTTTTCAGTCCGAGGGCCGCATTAACTATGAAATATCAGTTCGGGGGCCAGAGTTTCTTTAAGGCATCTCTTCTGGGAGTGGGCGCCCTCCGTCTACCACCCCCCCCCCCCTCACGAAATATAATTTATATAGAAATATTTGCAAATTTCAAGTGTCCACCCCCTCCCCACCCCCACGGAGAAAAAAGTCTGGAAGAAACGTTTTCGGGGGTCGATAACACACTCGAGGTCCAAGTTTGCTCTCAAATTGTTCTTCACGTATTTCATTCTTGAAAATGTTTGTTCACACAGTTATGTTGTTTCAAAATTTGAAAGGTAGGCCTACTCTGATGCAGAACTTTTAATATTAGGAAAGTCTTCCTTGTACAAAAACTTAGGAAAATTAATCTGCCCTGCTGTTCATCTTTGCAACTGGCCACATTTGCTGCAAATGGGCTTTGAAACAGTCTCACTTTTTCTGCCTTTGAATCCAAGTCAGAAAACCGATACTGAAACTGCAGCTGGAGGTCTTTAATGATCTCGTATGTAAATGACGTGGGAAATTCATTGGTTGCCTCACCCGTAAAGAACTTGCACTGCTGAAAGTGCGTCAAGTTGTTGGCCAGTACTTGTTCCAAATACATGACAAGTTTGAATCTGAAGGCCTTTAGGTGGGTGTGTAGATAAGATACTAGATTTCCCTCTCTTGCCGTTTTAGGTTCAGAAAATTTAAATGATTACTTATGTCTGCAGCAGAGGCCAATTTCTATACCCACTCTAATGAACACAAGAAGGTGAGGTGGAACAACTGTCCAGCGACTCATCCATTGCAATTGAAAAATGGCGAAGCTTGCTTGCATATTTCGCTATTTGAGTCACGATGTTTTCACCAATGTCTGCAACACGGCGGGCAATGGTATTTGCACCCAAAGCTACATTTTCAAATGGTTTTGAATTTTCTGTGCAAAGTTCCTCAGTCACCTCTAACAACATTTATTCAGTGGACAAAAAGATCGCCGCGGGCCGGATGAAATGACCTCGTGGGCCGCATCCGGCCCGCGGGCCGTAGTTTGGAGACCCCTGGTTTAGAGCATACTAGCGTACCCGTCCCGTACGTTGCCGCAATATTTTAAGAGGATTTTGTCAATGCGTTACCAATAGTTTATTATTAGACGCTTGACCTTGTTTTCAGAAATTGAGTTATTAAAATGTAGATATTAGAATGCGTTTTTTTTTCACACTCCTGCCCAGACGCCCCTGTACGAACGCCTTCAGTGTACGTTAATTACCCTCTGTAATAGTGAAGTATAATAGGCGACCGCCTACGTATCGGAGGCATCGCGGGGCGGTCTCGGGAGTCACAGGTTGCACTACTGCAGGGGTCCTGGGTGCGTCATTTGTTTCGGTTTAGTCATCGAATGTAGTGGCCCACCTTATCCCTATTGTAGGGTGCTCTTTAAAACCTATGTAGGCGCCGTAGTGCTTAGAGGAGCCCGGCGTGCTTCGGGTCACCCGACCGCCAGGTCGCCGGCGGACGTGCCTTGTTTTGTTGTTTTTTTTTGTTAAAAAAACTGAGGTGCCATAGTGCTCACGGGAGTGCCCAACATCTTCAATAAAATCTTAATATACAAATTTAGTATGCTCTGTTTTATAATAGTTTGTTCAAGTTCAAACTAAAATCATCGTGTATGCTACTTGTTCACAAAGAAATTCATGCTTTCTTATTACAATTACACACTTTTGAACATAATCTTAGCTTTCTGTTAGATCATTTATCCTACCCTTTTATTTTTCTTGTATGTTCCCTAATCTTACTTTTCACGAAATCTTCATGTTTCCTCATAACTTCCCATGCACTTTTATATTGGCAAAGTCTATTTTGGCGATTTGGTGCAAAGACATTATGCTTTAAATGTTTCGGTGATCTTGTTGGATCATCGCAGAACTCCGCCATCTGAAATATAAAGTTACTGTTTTAGTCAGCAAGAGAGTGTCTAAATAAACCAGCTGTTTGACAAGCATTTTAAAATACAGAGTTTGTAAACTTAACCGAGATATTTTGTATCATGTTTGCTTTAGTGTCTACTCGGAAGAATAAGCCACACCACAATCAAAAGCGCTTAAAGTATTGTCATAGAACTAGATCTCTTTACTTACACTAAGAATTAAAGTATTGTCATAGAACTAGATCTCTTTACTTACACTAAGAATTAAAGTATTGTCATAGAACTAGATATCTTTACTTACACTAAGAATTAAAGCATTGTCATAGAACTAGATATCTTTACTTACACTATCGAGGTACTGCATAAACATTAGAGATGCCATCGCTTTATTTGCAGCCATCCTAGGAAAAAACCGGCAGTTTTTCTCAGGTTTCCCAGTAAAGAAGTCAAATTCACATTGTTTGCTTGTATATTCATTCAAGATAGAACCTTCCACATCTGTTGTACACCTGCAAAGATAAAGCAGCCTTGTAGAAATGTGATTATTGGAATCGTGAAGTAGATCATAGGTAGGCTTAGAAATGCGTAGGGGAAAGAAAGAAAATAAACAAATATCCATTAATAATAAAAGCACTATTCTTTCAAATGTGTACTAGCTTTCATGAGCGACCAATACTTTTATCAAAGAAAGCAAGTATATTTTCTTATTTTCTGTGCATTTAACAGCTAATTAGTAGATTTTTGTTGTTTTTTTTAAAGGGTTGTTTTCGATTTATTATAAATTTTTATTGAGTTTACAGCGTCTTGAGAGTCGACAACGGAATGATAAAAGAGGCAGATCTAGTTGCCCTTTGGAGTTATGATTGCAAGCTAGTTATCAGGGTTTAAAGCAAATAATTTTAGCTGTATAGGGTGTCGAATCAACTTAGAATGAGCAGGCCTTTGAGCAATACAAATATTTATCGAACTTTTAAATGTTTGTTGTTTTTGTGTAAAAAAAAAGTGTGCTATTAATTTTTTATTGAGTCCAAATATTTTTTGTGTAGCTGCAAACAGAGTTTCTTCCAGGCATCTCTTCGGGGGGTCAAAGCCCCCCCCCGAAAAATTTTTACCGCCCCCCCCCCCCCCCCCCCCGAACGAAATGAAATTTATATAATTTATATAGAAAATATATACTTTTAACAGTGTCCGCCCCCCCCCCCCCCCCGAAGAAAGTCTACCGCCCCCCCCCCGAAAATTTCAAGTGCCCCCCCGGAGAAAAAAGTCTAGAAGAAACACTGGCTGCAAAGCATGTCGAAAGATAAGCAAAATATCTTTTTTACTTTCTCGTATATACGTAGTATAGAGAAAGTCTTGTAATCGTGCAAAAAAAAAAATTGAGATTTTTACAACTCTCGACGTTTTACACCTCACTGATACGGAAAAACATAATTTTGCAATCTTGTCCGTATGTCTGTGTGTGTGTGTGTCTGTCTGTCTGTGTGTCCGTGTGTAAACAGATAGATAAATGAAATTTCACATGTAAGTAAAAGATCTAATTCTCTACCTTCTGTTAAATTTTGAGTAATTTCCGTTGACCGGAAGTAGTAATTTACGCTACTTCCGATTTCTCAAAAAACTAATGTAAATTTTAAAAGTACTAATAATATTGCGCACTATTATGCGCTTTTTTATTTCGCGTTCACTTGGTGTGCAATTAATTTGTCTGCGAGATTTTATTCTATTTTTAAAACTTTAAGTATTTAAAATGGATTAAAAATCATGTCTATAGCCCCTGTTATTTTATATAAAAATATTCGAGAAAGTTTAGGGGAGATCACTCCCGGTTTATTTTTTTCAGTTTTTTACTTTCTCGTATATACGTAGTATAGAGAAAGTATTGTAATCGTGCAAAAAAAAAATCGAGATTTTTACAAATCTCGACGTTTTACACCTCACTGATACGGAAAAACATAATTTTGCAATCTTGTCCGTATGTCTGTGTGTGTGTCTGTGTGTCTGTGTGTCTGTGTGTCCGTGTGTAAACAGATAGATAAATGAAATTTCACATGTAAGTAAAAGATCTAATTCTCTACCTTCTGTTAAATTTTGAGTAATTTCCGTTGACCGGAAGTAGTAATTTACGCTACTTCCGATTTCTCAAAAAACTAATGTAAATTTTAAAAGTACTAATAATATTGCGCACTATTATGCGCTTTTTTATTTCGCGTTCACTTGGTGTGCAATTAATTTGTCTGCGAGATTTTATTCTATTTTTAAAACTTTAAGTATTTAAAATGGATTAAAAATCATGTCTATAGCCCCTGTTATTTTATATAAAAATATTCGAGAAAGTTTAGGGGAGATCACTCCCGGTTTATTTTTTTCAGTTTTTTACTTTCTCGTATATACGTAGTATAGAGAAAGTATTGTAATCGTGCAAAAAAAAAATCGAGATTTTTACAAATCTCGACGTTTTACACCTCACTGATACGGAAAAACATAATTTTGCAATCTTGTCCGTATGTCTGTGTGTGTGTCTGTGTGTCTGTGTGTCTGTGTGTCCGTGTGTAAACACGATAACTTGAGTACCGTTACAGCTAGGCTGGTGAAATTTCATATATAAGTATTTTATCAAAATCGTAGATCCGTATCAACTTTTGAGCGAATTCCGATAACCGGAAGTGGTACTTTTTCTACTTTGAATTTTTCAAAAGCCTATAACTTGAGTACTATTTCAGATAGATAAATGAAATTTGATATGTAAGTAAACGAGCTAATTCTCTACCTTCTGTCAAATTTTGAGTAATTTCCGTTGACCGGAAGTACTTATTTACGCTCTTTCCGATTTCTCAAAAAACGCATGTAAATTTATAAAGTACTAATAATATTGCGCACTATTATGCGCTTTTTTATTTAGCGTTCGATAGGTGTGCATTTCTTTTTTCTACGAGATTATATTCTATTTTAAGAAATGTGAGTATTTAAAATGGATTAAAAATCATGTCTAGAAGTCTATATCCCGAGTTGCCATCCCCTGTAGTGTTATATTAGAATATTCGAGAAAGTTTAGGGGAGATCACTCCCGGTTTATTTTTTTTGTACTAAGGATATTCTTTGGTGGAAAAAATTTTATACAAATGAAACTATTTTATTGTCAATAATTTACTACAAAAAAAGATTAATAATAATAAACAATTATAATAAATATCGGTTTTTTTATTTAGTTATCGAAAATATTAAAAACATCAAATACATCAAATATTTAGAAGATCCGAAAAAAAAAACCGACATGATTTTATTACCATATTAATTTTACCAATTTAAGCCAATTATTTTGTAGAATAAATACTGTATTCGGGAGTAGGCAATGTAGGTCTACACAAATATAATGCTTATTCATTTATAAAATAAAGATTTTTTAATGTAATTGTTTCTGTTAAGTGTCTTTCTAAATGTATTCTTTGTTTGTGTTTTTTTTTTTACCGCTGGTTGAGCACACGATGAAGAAAATGGAATTTTGTTTATTAAAACTTTTGTCATTGTGAACGTCTCTTAAATGATGTATAGAGTTTAATGACGTCACAGGCTGGATAGAGTTAAATGTTTATGAAACTTGTTATGGGACATGTTTAGGTGTCAAGTATTTCAAGCTTTCTCCAGTGTTGTTGCTTACAGGTGATGTTGTAGCAACACAACAATAAACATTTTTAAGCTGGGGATTTCATTCAGGCATTCATTAATTATAAAGCTAACAAAGCAGAACATTGTATTTCATGTAAATCTAGCGCAAGACAGATGAGGAGCACTATACTGTCGACAATTTCGTGTCCAGAAATGGCAGGAATTAGTACGTGGTGTGAATCTATCTCGACTGTGTACATAAGTACGTGGTGTAAATCTATCTCGACTGTGTACATAAGTACGTGGTGTGAATCTATCTCGACTATGTGCATGGTGGGAATCTATCTCGACTGTGTACATTAGTACGTTGTAGGAAGTGGTTACTATCTTCCCTTATATATATATATATATATATATATATATATATATATATATATATATAATATATATATATATATATATATATATATATATATATATATATATATATATATATATATATATATATATATATATATATATATATATATATATATATATGCTACGCCACTGAAAATTAATTAAAGCAGTACTTATAATTTAGTACACATTATGTTCCAAGCTGTTAGTGTGTCATTGTTCGAAGGAGTGTATTTCTTATATAATATCAGTGGGGGTATATAAAACTGCTATATCAATACCCAATAGTATGCAATGTTAACGGAAGTCTACGTTTTTCAAAACGGATGAAAAGCAATGAGTATTGCAGCATGTTTTCATAATAAGTCTTAAGTGACTTGGTTTCTAAATTTAACACTCGCTAGCGGAGTGATTAATTAAGCTAAACAGTTGTGCCTGGTAGAGGTAATACGCAAGGAGGCGAAAAGCTAAAAGGGAAGGAGGGGAGCGAGAACAGGGCAACGCAAAACTAAGTGATAGAAGTAAACATACGCTGACATGCTGTCGTTTTCACTCATCCTAATTCCATGTTCATTTCATGGCTTTAAGTCTTTAATCCACAAATTCACACACACGCATACACACTCACTCACTTGTTATTATTTTAAAAATTCTATTTATTTCCAAATAATTTTCAAAGCATCATGTATTGTAAATGTTATGATCTTTAAGTCAGATAAATATACTCTAACTTGAAGGCCATTCTTATCGTAAACATATATATGTCCATATATCTATTCCATACCCTATCCCTAACTATTTCTGTAACCGTATCAGTATGCCTGACCCTTACCCCTACGCTGTCCATATCGTTATCCAGATCTCTAACAATATCCGTTTCGCTAACCCTTACCTGTCCCTATCCGTACCCCTATTACTATCCCATTTATTACCCTATCCCTGTCCCTTTTACTTTCACTATCCCTATATCTGCCTCTCTCTCTCTCTCTCTCTCTCTATATATATATATATATATATATATATATATATATATATATATATATATATATATATATGCGCAGATTTTGAGCGTTTCAAGTTACCTTGTTGGGTGCCATAAACCTGCAAATCGGTAGAAAGCCTCGTCTTGAGCATCAATTGGATATTCATCAAATAAACCCCAGCGTAGATGTGCCCATTCATGGACAATCGTTTTATCTGGAGTGTAGAATACGTTATGGAATTTATATCAAATTGACGGTTAGAGCATTCGTGAATGTTTTGAATTTTTTGTATCTAATTGTTTTGACTTTGGGGAGTATTTACATTTCCTAAATATTTTGATATGCAAAGTAAATTGACATTCAGGAGTAGGCCTTATGTTGACAGCAATAATCCAAAATGTTTTCTGACCTGGATTCCCCCATTTTTGAATGACAGCATCATCCAACAAATAGCCGGGTGTTAGGTGGATGTACAAGCCTGGCGAGCCACATTCAGCATATTGTTTGACGTACGGGGCGTCGCCGTAGGCGGGATTGGATCTGATTTTTTTTAAAAACACAAGTATGGCGGGAACACTTGAATCAGTGATTAAATCATTTTAAAAATATTCAACACAGTTTGAAATATCCCGCACAGCTAGGAAACAAAAAAATAATCAAATGATCTAGTTCTTAGTTTTTTATGGTTATTTATTAAAAACTCATAAGAACAGTATTTTAAGACATTTATTTTGTAACACAAAGTACCTGTCAATAATGATCTGTGCTCTGTCTAATTCAACATCCAAAGCGTTCTCGTAAAACTGTTTTGGCGTCCACGTTTCTGGAACCACTATGATAAATTCTCGAAAATATAGGAGATTTTTGGTGGCTTTAAATAGTGTAGCAGATGCGGCAGTTAGAAACATCTGAAATTTAAATTAAAAATTCTCAGTTTGGGTAGCGAAATATTAATTGATACAAGCACTGGGCATTCTTCTTAGCTGATACCCTTACATAACTCCGTTACTAATACTAACCTATTCCAAATGTAACACTATTTCTAAATAAGCACGAGCCGTTTTAATTGAAAAATAATATAGTTTTCATTAAAAAGCAGAAGTCTTCCCACTTTTTTGCTTACTCTGATTACCTGATCGATTTAATGTTTGTCGGTGTGAATGCTTGGATTATATGGAGGTGAGGGGATGGGGGCGGTTAAAGTGCACGACTGTTGTTCCAATAGAATCGAGTCTGTATGTCAATAGAATCGAGTCTGTATGTCAATAGAATCGAGTCTGTATGTCAATAGAATCGAATCTGTATGTCAATAGAATCGAGTCTGTATGTCAATCCTCAACCCATTCAGCCCGACGGGTACATATTATGTTAGGGAAAGCAAACGCGACTAAGCATGGAACTTATCTCATTATATCTCATTTGCAGCGTGCACATATATAGACACGTCACCTGCCCGACAAACCGCCAGGTCCGAAACTTAAAAAGAAGATAAAAAGCCACTTAATAAAATTGTTATTCTGCTGGGCAAGGCTGATTATTTTATTACTCTAAAGTCTAAAGTTATAGCTAAATTAATAGTAAAAAACGTCAGTTTTTTTTCGACATAACTCCTATGAAGAAATTACATTTAAGCAAGTTACCCATTACAAAAAGTCCGGATAAAATATGTGTGGCCCGTTTTTTTTCCCTCATTGTGCCAAGATTCTGACCGTATTTTCCCCATCAGTGTGCCTAGATTCTGACCGTATTTTCCCCTCAGTGTGCCTAGATTCTGACCGTATTTTCCCCTTATTGTGCCTAGATTCTGACCGTATTTTCCCCTCAGTGTGCCTAGATTCTGACCGTATTTTCCCCTCAGTGTGCCTAGATTCTGACCGTATTTTCCCCTCAGTGTGCCTAGATTCTGAGCGAATTTTCCCCTTATTGTGCCTAGATTCTGATCCTATTTTCCCCATCAGTGTGCCTAGATTCTGACCGTATTTTCCCCATCAGTGTGCCTAGATTCTGACCGTATTTTCCCCTCAGTGTGCCTAGATTCTGACCGTATTTTCCCCATCAGTGTGCCTAGATTCTGACCGTATTTTCCCCTCAGTGTGCCTAGATTCTGACCGTATTTTCCCCTCAGTGTGCCTAGATTCTGAGCGAATTTTCCCCTTATTGTGCCTAGATTCTGATCCTATTTTCCCCTCAGTGTGACTAGATTCTGACCGTATTTTCCCCTCAGTGTGCCTAGATTCTGACCGTATTTTACCCTCAGTGTGCCTAGATTCTGACCGTATTTTCCCCTCAGTGTGCCTAGATTCTGAGCGAATTTTCCCCTTATTGTGCCTAGATTCTGACCGTATTTTCCTCTCAGTGCGCCTAGATTCTGACCGTATTTTCCCCTCAGTGTGCCTAGATTCTGGGCGAATTTTCCCCTTATTGTGCCTAGATTCTGACCGTATTTTCCCCTCTGTGTGCCTAGATTCTGACCGTATTTTCCCCTCAGTGTGCCTAGATTCTGACCGTATTTTCCCCATCAGTGTGCCAAGATTCTGACCGTATTTTCCCCTCAGTGTGCCTAGATTCTGACCGTATTTTCCCCTTATTGTGCCTAGATTCTGACCGTATTTTCCCCATCAGTGTGCCTAGATTCTGACCGTATTTTCCCCTCAGTGTGCCTAGATTCTGACCGTATTTTCCCCTTATTGTGCCTAGATTCTGACCGTATTTTCCCCTTATTGTGCCTAGATTCTGACCGTATTTTCCCCATCAGTGTGCCAAGATTCTGACCGTATTTTCCCCTCAGTGTGCCTAGATTCTGACCGTATTTTCCCCTTATTGTGCCTAGATTCTGACCGTATTTTCCCCTTATTGTGCCTAGATTCTGACCGTATTTTCCCCATCAGTGTGCCAAGATTCTGACCGTATTTTCCCCTCAGTGTGCCTAGATTCTGACCGTATTTTCCCCATCAGTGTGCCATTATTCGTACTAGTCATACGTACTAGTCATACGTACTAGTCATACGAACTCAATTAATGAATCACTCAATTAAGTGGAATTATCATTTTTCTCTATATTTTGTATTTTTTTGCCTTGGTGTCACCCCCCTAAATGGTGTCACCCGGTGCTGTCCGCACGCCCGCCCCCCCCCCTTCTTTGCTCGCTACGCCCCTGTACGTACTAGTCATACGTACTAGTCATACGTACTAGTCATACGTACAGAGCCTAAGTATTAAAAATCGTTTTGAAAATTGCTCTCTATTTTTACAAAAATTAAAATGATTCTATAAGGAAATGTTACTGGTCCACTTGAACCGATTTATCGATTTTGCATCGGAAACGGCCTGCATATATACATATACACGTAGGCATATATATATATATATATAAATATATATATATATATATATATATATATATATATATATATATATATATATATATATATATATATATATATGTATATATACGTATATACGTATATATGTACGTGTATGTGGCATATATTTAAATTATAGCCATGTGTACGTGTGTGTGTTTGTGTGTGCATCAACGTACATATGGCTATAATTTTAAATATATGCCACATACACGTACATGTTTGTTTATAAGCTTTAATTATTGCAGATGTATGAGTAATAATGTTTATATATAGTATGTTAATAATATAGTTGGATGTAGCATTGTGGTGTCAATCTCCTCCCCCCCCCCCCAAGAAACAAAGTATATATATATGTATATATATATATATATATATATATATATATATATATATATATATATATATATATATATATATATATATATATATATATATATATATATATACCAATATCCCATTATGCCCATTTTTGTGTGTTTTAGTTCGGGTTTGCGTTTGTGGTTGTGTTTGTGTTTGGATTTGGGTTTGGGTTTGTTCTCGTTTGCTTTTTTTCTTTGCGTTTGTGTTTTCGTTTGCTTTTTTCTTAGCGTTTGTGTTTTCTTTGTGTTTGCGGTTGTGTTTGTTTTTTGTGTTTTCGTTTGTGTTTGTTTTGTGTTTGAGTTATATATATATTTTATATATATATAAATGCAGTTTGAGTTATATATATATATATATATATATATATATATATATATATATATATATATATGTATATATATATATGTATATATATATATATATATATATAAATATATATATATATGTATATATATATATATATATATATATATATATATATATATATATATATATATATATACATATATATATATATATATATATACATATATATATATATATATATATATATATATATATATATATATATATATATATATATATATATATATATACTAGCCGTCCCGGCCAGGCCCTGCACTGGCATCTCTGAAAAACGTATCTATAAAGGACCATAACTTGTGTGTTTATTAATCATCATTTACCCGGCATTGCCAACCACAACCAACAAAAACACACAAAAAAACGCAAACATAACACTAACACAAAACAAACACAAACGAAAACACAAAAACAAACCGCCCCCCCCCCCCCTCCGAAGAAAGTCTATCGCCCCCCCCCCCCCCGAACGAAATGAAATTGATATAGAAAATATATACTTTTAACAGTGTCCGCCCCTTCCCCCCCCCCCCCCCCCCCCGAAGAAAGTCTACCGCCCCCCCCCTCCGAAAATTTCAATGCCCCCCCCCCCCTCCCCGGAGAAAAAAGTCTGGAAGAAACACTGAATGTGAGGTACATTCATTTAGCAAAACCCATACATTATTTCTTGAAACAGCTATTAATATATACAATAGAATCTCGTAGAAAAAAAGAATTGCGCACCAAGTGAACGGCTAACAATATGTGTTTTATAATAAGGCATACTAGTACTTTATTAATTCATCACACTGTAGAGGAAATACGCCAGAGCTTATATCCTCTCACATTCTGACGAGGAATTGGTGGATCGTGCAGAAAGTCCGTTTATTGAAAAAAAAAAAAAAGGAGACATGTTCTGAAGCTTACCTCTAATCTCTATAGGAAAAGTTCCGTAGCTTACCTCTAATCTCTATTGGAAAAAGTTCTGAAGCTTACCTCTAATCTCTATTGGAAAAAGTTCCGTAGCTTACCTCTAATATCTATTGGAAAAAGTTCTGAAGCTTACCTCTTATCTCTATAGGAAAAAGTTCTGTAGCTTACCTCTTATCTCTATTGGAAAAAGTTCCGTAGCTTACCTCTAATCTCTATTGGAAAAAGTTCCGTAGCTTACCTCTAATATCTATTGGAAAAAGTTCCGTAGATTACCTCTAATCTCTATTGGAAATGTTCCGTAGCTTACCTCTAATATCTATTGGAAAAAGTTCCGTAGCTTACCTCTAATCTCTATTGGAAAAAGTTCCGTAGCTTACCTCTAATCTCTATTGGAAAAAGTTCCGTAGCTTACCTCTAATCTCTATTGGAAAAAGTTCCGTAGCTTACCTCTAATCTCTATTGGAAAAAGTTCCGTAGCTTACCTCTAATCTCTATAGGAAAAAGTTCCGTAGCTTACCTCTAATCTCTATTGGAAAAAGTTCCGTAGCTTACCTCTAATCTCTATTGGAAAAAGTTCCGTAGCTTACCTCTAATCTCTATAGGAAAAAGTTCCGTAGCTTACCTCTAATCTCTATAGGAAAAAGTTCCGTAGCTTACCTCTAATCTCTATTGGAAAAACTTCTGTAGCTTACCTCTAATCTCTCACGAAGCGATTTACTTTCCTTGACATCAGGACTAATGGCAATGATGACCCCCTCATATCCATTGTTGACCAACCTAACTTTGGCCGCCGCTGTCTGCGACTAGAGTCAGTGAGAATAGAATCATTGCCAGACAGCCGGTAGACATGTTGGCAAACCTGTAGATATCCGCTCAGACGTTCAATGTTCCTACACAACTCCTCATCTTACTTTATTTGGTTTTGAAGCTAGGCAGAGACTCTACCATACAGAAAAGATTCTGCTATACAGAGAAGATTCTGGTATACAGAGAAGATTCTGCTATACAGAGAAGATTCTGGTATACAGAGAAGATTCTGCTATACAGAGAAGGTTCTGCTATACAGAGAAGATTCTGCTATACAGAGAAGATTCAGCTATACAGAGAAGATTCAGCTATACAGAGAAGATTCAGCTATACAGAGAAGACTCCTAGACTGGGAAGACTCAAAGATGGGGACACCGCTCCTTAATGTGGATGGAATACGCTCCCTTCAAAGATCCAACGTCTGAAAATTACACATACAGAAAAAGTTTGTTCCCCACAACCATCACGTGTACTGTAATTAGCGCTGTATTTCAGCCTTCATCAGCAGGTTTAGTTTTGGCTGATTTTTAAACGACTTATGTTTACTTTATTCCACATGCAATCAACACATTTGAATCCATACTGAAATCACAAACTAGGAAAGATATCCGAGAAGTAAACAACTGTTATTGGACTCGAGAGAATTCATGTAACAAATCTGTCCCAGGGGCGGGCAGTATCTGACTTGGGTCATCAGTTGTCTCCCTGATGTTAGCACACGCTTGTGTCCCTTGAGAAAACACAGTCTACCAGTCCCATCCAGGTAGTTTTAAAACACGCATACGAAATGAAGACGTCACAACAACACTTGCGCTTATTTACCTGTGGCTTAATTATGCTTTTCTTTTTATAGGAGATAAATAGTATGTCATTTTTTTAAACTTTTTTTTAGGAGATAAATAATATAATATGGCATTGTTAAAAATTGACTTGATGAAAAAGTGGTGTTCAAAGCGACGCGAATCTTGAGCATGGAGCGTGGCGAATCACGTAAATTGTCGTCAGCACCTGTCAGTTTCAGTGATAGTCAACGTGTTTCCCTATCATTAATTATAGCGGCAAACTCAAATACTTTTACTGGCGCTAACTTATAGCCACTATAAATAGGCTTAACAAACTAGCTGAGGGATGTACTAGTCTTGTAGAAATAGAACAACCTCTAGCGGATGAGACTAGATAAGCATTGCTATGTACGGTGTGGCGGCTAACAAAGGGTATTATTCAGGTATTTTACACACTTGGCCATGTAATGCAG